GAATAATTTCTAATTCAACTCTTTCTGCTTCTATACAACGAATTCATAGTGATGGGGCAAAGTCAGTTTTTTTTTATGTTATATCTTAATGGATTTTTCAAGAAAAATTTATTCGTTTTGTTATTCTTCATTTATATTTTTATCAAAATGTTCTTTATATTCATTTTCAACTGTTTGATTATTTTTGAATATTGCTTGAAATGCACGAAAAATAGACGAATCATCATAATGACGTGGTTGACCTGGTAATGAATTAATATAATCGTACATCTCCTAGAACGACATGAAAAAAAAAACATTATACGAGGAAAAATGATTGTTACTTCAAATTCGCCTCCTACTTTCACAAAAGGATCAAGTAAATCAGCAATGACTTTGTTTTTTTCCATCATTTTAAATTTTTTCTCAAGCTTTATCATTCGATTTTCATTTATTGTTTTTGTTTCTTCTAAAGCAGCTATTCGACTTTCAAGTTCAATGATTTGTTTTGATTGTCCAAATACAAGATCCGTTAAATTTTCAAATAATGTTTTAAGTTTAGTTTTTAATTCTCCAATATTTACTTCATTTGTATCAGTGATTTTGGCAAGACTATCTTGGATGTTGTTATAAATGTTGTTGAATTTTTCAATATCATATTTTGGTATAATATCTCCAGATATATGACTTTTTGTTTTCCAATTATCCACAACATCCGTTACAGCACGAATTTGTTCCAAAATTGTTGATGAAGCTGTGATTGGTTTTATATCCAAGGTTTTTTTACATTCTTCTTGTAATTCTTTCGAGCAATATCCAGCAAGAGTTAAAACCAACTTAGAAAACAATAGATCTATTTCATCTAAATAAAAGAAGAAAAGAAAATTGAGTAGAAATCTTTAAATTTTCAAAGCTAAACTTGCAAAAATTTCCAGAGTGAAAATAATCCATTTTTCTATTTAAAACTGCCAAAAATATTTATTAATGCTCGAAAGGATAATTGAAACAACTTACTGTAATCCATTTAAGTACTTGAAAAATCGTGAATAGTTAATGCAACAGAAATTAATTTATTTTGTTTGTTTATTGTAGGATGCTGGTAAAACACAATGGGTATAGTGCGTTGAACCAATCAATATCAATTGTATTACATGTGGCGTCCTCTAATGAAATTGTAGTAGTAGAATACAGACGATTTTGAGGATATAAGTGTTGTGTTGATGTAGCAAATTCTAAAAACATTTTTTTCATTAAACGATCCGATAAACCAATATGTGCAAGTAATAATGGTAATGGACGTAATAAAAGTAAAGCTTCATATGGTAATGTTGATGATTGTTTAGTACGTTCATATAATTCTGTAACAAGTTCAATAAGAATATTATCTGATGATGATGATATTATTGATGAACTATTAATCATTACTATTATCGATTTCAAAATATCAGATACCTTAGTATTTTTTGAATAACTTTTGACTAGAGCATGACAGAGAGCTGCGGCTGGCACCATTGGAAAGATCAGCTTTGGGGTTATCGATACACATGAAAACCATTTATTTCCAAAACCTTCCTACTGGTTTTCTAGAGATCCGAATTTTCAGAAAACCAGCATTTTTTAGAATTCGCATTAATTTTTTTTACTTTTATATCAGCAGATAGCCCAAGCTCTGCTCTATTGAATGAGACCAACCCGACTTCTCTGTGACTTTCTGTTCAAGAATTAGGCCGTCTGCAATGAAGCTCGCCGCAACAGGGTTTTTCACTTACTCTACATAATCTTTTCAATGAAACATGGCCACACTCGCTAAAATTATGATCTTGACAATGCTGAATATTATAGCGAACTCTCCAACAATCCCTTCTGCTCAATAATGATAAGGAGGTTCTATGTGTGATAGGCCTAATGTAAATACACTCTGTTTCATAATATTTGCATTTTTCGTTCGTTTTTTGTTTTTTTAAGAGTCCTTCAATTTCAGATTTGTTTTTGCCCAGTACTTTTACAGCCGGTGAATAGCTATGCCGACAGGTATTACTTTCGGAGCGGCTATGAAGGAATTAATGTTTCGGATTATCAAATTTGTCGAAAGTGAGAAAGAAGGACCAGTGATGGGTGTGGGTGTGCGTGTGGGTGGGTGTGGGTATGGGTGTGGGTGTGGGTGTGTGTGCGTGTGGGGTGTGGAGTGTGATTGTGGGTGTCGGAGTGGGGTGTGGGTGTGCGTGTGGGTGGGTGTGGGTGGGTGTGGGTGGGGTGTGGGTGTGGATGTGGATGTGGATAAAAATAAAGCCAGCACCCACACCCACAACCACACCCCACACCCACACCCACCCACACCCACACCCACCCACACCCAGACCCAGACCCAGACCCACAGCCACAGCCACAGCCACAGCCACACCCACATCCTTATCCACACCCACATCCTTATCCACACCCACCCACACCCACACCCACACCACACACCCACACCCACACCCACACCC